ACTGTTAGCTTTAATTGTGATATTAAGCCTCGCCTAATGGCTTAGGGGCAGCAATTAGATGGGATATGCTTACAAGGTGGAAGCTGAACTCGAGTTGAGTTCAATCACAGAACACTTCAACAGCTCAAACTAATAACATAGGAAAGTTTCTTCCTAAACTCGTTGAGCTGCAGTAAAACTCTAAGCCGAATAATAAGGAACAGAGCAGTCTACCAATTAAATTTAAATATAATACGCAGTCGGTTGTCTCTAATGAATATTTACCCTGCTTAATTGCACTCGTTGCTGTCATATACATATATCACAAACATCACACAGATATGTATGCATGTGTATAGCTGCAATAAGAGCATAAAAAAACTAACTGAACTAACTTAATAGGTGTTCTATGTATGCTACCTGTCAATTAGCCAGGTCACTCAAGTTAATGCGAAAATAAAAACACTATAAATGGGGGGAGGGGGAAGTACAAATTAATAGAGATATGCCGATTGTGCACCGCGGCGTATACGTAATACAAGTACATACGTAATAGATCACTCGACGTTACGTATGCGCAGCTAACCAGAAGTCGGGCATCGGCAAATGGTATTACCTATTCGGTTAGCAAATCAAATGACCCCAAATTAAATCAATGGCTTTGGTGTGCCCTTTTGATAATATTATTATAAATATATCAAGTATAGATAAATGTAACTCGTTTGCCCGTTACGGCGTCACTAAAGTGACGCCCCTAAACCCTGGCTGCAATTAAATAATAATCAAATAATTCAAATTAATGATGGAGAGCATTTGCATATCGGCCGGGCGCACTCAGGTGGGCGGACGTGGGGGCTGCCAGCAGGCAGTAATCCTTCGCCATGCTGATTCCCATTAATATCATTCAGCATTTCGCGATATCTCGTTAGCCAACTGTCAGCATTTGTTAGCTAGCATTGACGTTGTTTTCAGCTCCAGCTGCTCCAAAAAGTTTCGCCAACATAATTAGGTTGCATATGAAAATATTTTTGAGGCTTCCTCTCTGCCGGTAGCTGCCTCTGGCTCCGGCTGCAAAACATCCTGCGGCCACATCTAGGTCATGGTGCGTGCGACTATATAAATGCCTGTTGCTGTACGCGTTCGTTTATCATTTACCTTCGGTCGTTGGATCCATCCACTGCCTGTTGAGCACACCCATTATTTCCAATCAACAACCCATCGCTGGCCAATCTCCTTAGTGGCCTGTTGCGCTGCAATCTCGTCTATCATTCATAATTTTGACCTCGCCTCGTCAGGTACTCGTTGCGGCAGAGGCAGCGACAGCGGCAGCAACAGTTTGTGCAACATTGCAAGTGTCGTACGTCCATCTGCTACTTGTGAATACTCATTTAAAGGTAAGTCAAAAGCAAGATAAGGGAATCCGATATTTCTCTCATTTTCCATTGTGTGATAAAGTGAAAAAAGATTTCGATTATGTTGGTGTTTAATATGACATAGTTGAGCTCAAAGTTTTTAGTGAATTTTTAAAGATTAATACACATATTCACATAGTTTTTAGTTCTTTGGGTGCTTCTTCTTTATTATTTTTTTTAGATTTGTAAATATTCTTCATAAAACTATTTCTATAATTTTATTATTAGTACATTATTTCTAAATAATCTTTCCATTTGAATAATATTTAGTTAATTTTAAAATGCGAATTTGAGAAAAATTGTTTAATTTCGTTTATTTTTTATTATATAAAATAATTGATTACTTGAAAATATATATATTTTTTTAATTTCCTTATACTGCATGTGCGAAAAAGTTTTTTTTATTCATTTTTTTTTTTTTTAATTTATTAAATAAAAAAAGGATTGCATCCTTTCATTTTCTTGAGCTTCAGTTTTTCATCACATAATTTAATATACTAAAAAATTCACTTTTATTTATTTTTGAAATAATAATGAGGAAGGGCAACTGCTCCTCGAAAACAATAAATTTAGTCAATCAGTCAATCAGTAGTAGCTCTCTCTTTGGGGTAATTAATGATTTACGTCAGATGAATTTTATTGCAGTTATGCCAATGCGATCCGGTGGCTTGTGAACTTCACAAACAAAGCGATAATTGCACAGAATTTGCAAATTGGCCAGATAGTTCAGTACACGCTACTGGTATTAGCCGTGGCCCTAGCCGGGCCGGCCTGTAAATGGGCTTCTAATTAGACAGTATGGGGGCAATCGGGTTCAGTTCAATATGAGATAACAAATGTATAAGAGTGCAACTGATATTTAGTTATGCAAATCACAAGTATAACAACCAGTAATTCTGCTTAATGCCCCGAGCTAATCTTGGCTAATACTAATGCAATTTTATGGCGAGCTACATACATATATAGTGTGCTATTCCAATTTCCTATTATAGGTAATTTTCAATCCGATTTCGTTTAATCCCAGTAATTAGCCACTCTCTCTCTTTCTCACTCTCTCTCTCTCTCTCTCTCTCCGTCTCTCTATTTCTGTTGCACGTGCAGCTAATCGCATCATGTCGTATTCAATGCGCTGCACATTGGTCTTCTGCGTGGCATTCGCTCTGTTTGCCGCCGGCTGCATTGTGGAGGCCTCCAAGACTCGACCACCGCGCAACAATGAAATCAACACCATGGCAGATGCGCTCAAGTATCTGCAGGATCTCGATGTCTACTATGGCGACCGGGCCCGTGTGAGGTTTGGCAAGCGCGGCTCGCTCATGCAGGCCATTCGCAATCGAATGCTTTTAAACGGAATTAATACTGAACCATTCAATGACAACAACAATGGCGGAGAATTGGTAAGTGTATATCCGGAATATCCATAAAGAATCTGTTCAACTCACAGCTATATCACCCTGGCAGATCCATGACGTTGGCCAGGAGGAAATGTTCTAATTATGATGCGTTGAGAGCGGGAGGGAGAGAGAACTAATTTGAAGCTCTATTGCAACTGTTTCAAATCAATAGCTTAAACAATTACCAAAACCTTAAATATGAATGTTAATTACAATTAAATGTTCATTGCAAAATATGCATAATTAACTGTTATCTATAAATGTTTGCTTAATGAAATGAAATTAAAGCCAAAGGCAGGCACAAATCGGAGCCTAATCAATTTTACTTGTTTTGTTTGCGTTTTACAATTATTTTTTTATTTCACTAGGTTTTAGTTAATGATCAATTGCTTAGCCCAGTTGAATGTTTTCAACTTCCTTGATGAGATCCATGTGCTTGAACTCATCCGGACGCTTGGTGAACGTCTCCAGCAGCTTGAGTTTGCTCTCGTCGGTCTTATAGTAAAACATTTGCAGCTCATTTGCCAGGCACTGCGCCTCCTGAGCGGTCAGCACCTTCGTGTCGTACTCTCCTCGCATCAGTATAATGCCCTTGTCCTGCATCTCGGTGTAGTGCACCAGGGTGAGGCACTCGGGAGCATTCTCTTGGTGCACCTGGTAGGCCAGCAGGGGCGTAAAGTGCACCGAATTGGCAGCGAACTGCAACATGATGAATTCGAAGCCCTCGCTGCGCGGCAATGGCAGCAGGAAGATTGGATGCTCCTTGGCGCGCTCAGTCAATGTCTGATACTGACTGGTAGTCAATGTGGCAGCCAGCACGTCCTTGGTTTTGTGGTACTCGATCCAAATTTGCGATATCTCTTCGGCAGTCTTATCAGCGATTAGCTCCATCTTCATGATATCAGTTAGCTTCTTGTGGGGAATTTCGGCCGACTCTTTAGGAAGCTTCTGCTTGGGATTCAAAAGCTCCGAGTAGGATCTGAAAAGATGGACATGTTACATGTTATATATGTACATAGGTACCATTGAAGAACTTCACTTGCCTGGCCTGAATTTTTCCCTCTTTAATGGGATTAACAACGCGCTCAATCCTATCCAAGAATTCCTCTGCCGAAGTTTGTTGTGCCTTGGCAATCTTATCAGCATACTTGGAGTAATAGGGATTTTTCTCTTTCAATTGCTCAATTGCCTCCTTGGCACGTTGTGAAGAGGTCATGGTCAAGCTGCGTGTAAATAATTGCGGATTTTTTGGCAAAACACGTAAAACTTTACGAGCGCATTCCATGCCGAACCGAATTAAATCGTGAGGTTACACAACACAGCACAGCTGACAAACAGCTGAGTTTCATTTCAGTGCTGAAAAGTGTCAATAAGATATCAAAACACTTTTCACCCAGCAGTGGAGCACAGGGTGAGCTCTTATTATTTATTATATTCAATACTTAAATTTTTACTTTAATCTTTAAGGGAACTTAATTTTAGATTTTCATTAATGCGCTGCCTCTTGATAGTATCGTAATATAGTCATAATATATTTGCAGTATTTTTTCTAAGCGATTACTTCAATTATATGGTCACCCTTAACTTTAGTCTGTTAACTATTAAACCGTTCTGGAAACTCAATAAATGATACAAGTGAAATATGTAAAACAATGGTTGTATATATAAATTTAAAAGATAATAATGTGTGTTTAATTAGCAGTTACGAGAAAAGATCGAAGATGCTTTTGGTGCCAGAACCCTACCTTCCATTGAAACGCATGTTATCTGTTTGTTTTCACCATGAAAGCTATCAATTGGCCTATTAATCCTAGCCTCTATGGATTCAGTGTCCTCCTGGGAATAGAACCGTTAACCGTTAACCGAATAAGTACCGCAACAAAACATTTAAAATATAATTATGTACAAATAATTATATGATGCATATGTAGCTAATATATATATATATTGTGTATGTAATTATAAGATAAAATACAAGACATTTTAAATAAATTAATAACTGCATAATAACGTAATTTAAAGTTACCGATTACTGTGTCAGTTAATATTCAAAACGATTAACAGTCCACACTGAGTGCAACAGCACAATAACAGCGCTCGTAGCAGACATCTTGTAGGTCTGTTAATGTGCGCGCCACTCTCTCTTGAATCTCACGATTGAGTGTCTTTTAACAGTGCTTGAAACCTGTTCTCGGCTTAGTTGCATCGAAACGTTGAAGCGTGGCGTACGTAATTGTCTCGGTATTGTTTGGTTGTATTGACTGCTGTGGTGGCTTCAGTGGGAATTTGGCACTGCTCAAATCCGAGCGTTGCTGCTGCTGCTGCGCTTAGTATAGATTTTCTGTCAGTGCTCCCAATATAATTGTATATGTATTAAAGAAGTGCAAAATAAGTGGTGTAAGCGTTTGTACGTAACTATTGATTGCCAATATCTACTAGTACAAGAGGAGAGAAAAGGTCGGCTCACTTGCAGACACCAAAAAGTGTTACGCGGCAGGCAACGGTTGCCCGGAGGCGCATTGCATAATTTAGTTAGTGCCCACTGCAGTGGCTTGGCTTGGTTTGGCTTAGCTTTTTTTAAGAACTTCTCCTTGAGCTGTTAGAACGAGAGCCGCGAATGGCAGCAGAAAGCGTACAGCGGCAATAGAAACGTTCCCAGTTGAGAACAATGACCATATATAAACGGAATGTGCATAAAAAAAAATAGAAGCAAGCAAAAAGACAACAAATAACCAGTAGCAACAACATACAACAATAAGCGCAGCTTAGCTTTCCCTCTTGAGTTTTTTAGTTATTTTTGCTTCTCGGACGGCTGTTGTGCTGCTTGTGTGACATAACGGTATTGGATTGTCTGCGTGTGTGTGAGTGAGTGAGTGTGACAGTGTGAGGGAGTGCAATTTGAAAAGCCGAGCCACCGATTTTTTTGTGAACACTGCAGAAGTGCGTGCCATTTGGGTGTTTATGTGAGGGTTGTGGAGAGGAGGGGGTTCTTTGCTGCCATTGATTATATATGTATCTATTTATGTGTGTTCTTTGCGCTTAAATTGCAGATATTTATCGCATTGACGCGCGCTCACCAATACAGTAACAAATACTGCCAACCCTCAAAAGTCGCCGTTGAAGCCGCTGCTGCTGTCGCCGTCGTCGTCGTCGTCGTCGCTGTTGCGTCGTAACAGCAAGCAAAAAAAAAAATAAAAAGAAAGAAAGAGAATAACAAGTGCGCGAGTGCTGTAAAATGATTGTAGGCCGTGGACCGAGCGCATTAGCTGCGCTGCTGCTGCTCTGCTGCTATACAACGCATGCAGCTGCCGCCGATTTGGCGGACAAATTGCGCGATGATTCGGAACTTTCACAGGTGAGTCAGTATGGAAGTCACACAGTAAATATTCAGCCCAGCATAGAGAACACATTTCTGTAGGTGCTTAACCAGCTGTTTCTTAGGCGTATCTCAAGTTGTTTACACGTAGCCACATACACTTTGACACCCAAACACATATACATGCACAGTTACTTGTACACCTTAGTCATGCAATGCAATTAGTTGTTGGCCAACACACACACGCAGTTACACCTGGGTGACATTTGGTCAAGCCTATCGGCGATTGTCCTTGAAATGAAAATCCTTGGGCAACGAGAGTTGATAAGCGGGAAGAGAAGCAAGAGCATAAGAGAGAGAGAGAGAGATACAGAAGTGCACCCACACAGGTAGCTGTGAGTCGCAGCTGCTTGCTGACTGCTTCTTCTCGCACGTCCTTGACCTTTAGCATTTACACTTGTTGTTGCTGGTGAAAAATCGATGCTTACCCAAAATCCACGTTAGGACGCGACGCAGCGAGAGCAAAGTCCAAATGCGACCACATTTCGTATGCATGCTGAGCCCATTATCTAAAAAAATAATAAAAATAAAAACTAAATAAATTATGCAAAAGCAACAACACGCCCAAGCGGGAGCCGGTCGTTGCCGTCGACAGAGCATAACAGTTTTCTACCTACCTACATATTTATGTTTGCCTTTTTACACCTTCAACACAGGCATATGGGCAACACATAAAAGTGTAAAAAGTCAGAAGCCATTAAAGGTTGCCAACCTAAAACAACAACTACGATAACAAAAACAACAACAGCAATTGTCCGTCCGTCTGGCGTTCTACTCTGTTAACCATTTAATGCCCAAAAATAGTTGCTAGTTGAAAAGCAAGCAGCAAAACTTAGTTTCACAATTGAAAAGAAAGCGTGCGAGCTGCTCACTGAGAGCTACCTCACCTGGAATTGTCGCCACAATGAAATGATATATGCAGTACCTTTGCCGTTACCTGACAATTGTTACCTTCTGTACGTCTCTATCGTCAGCGAACATATGTGGGGTAACCAGTGTAGAGGCGACAGCTACAGCCAAACAGAGCGTGCTGATGGGTGGTTAGCGGCATCATCTTGTTGCAAGTCGGATACTGTGCAATCGCCAAAGTCTTCTACATTCATCATATATAAGAAAATCTCTTCAGCCATTTCAATTCACATGTTATACTTTTGCTTTCAAGCAATTGATTCCGTATTCACAATCCACCATATATTTGTTATTCTTGAGATATTATTCAGATCTATCAGTTCTGATATGTGTTTAAAAGATGATCATATGTATATTATTTGATATTTATATATAATCATAATACATTTTGAGTAATTGATCCTATAATTTCCTGAAATCTGTATGAACATAATTATTATTTGTACACGAGATTTTACACTTTTTTCGACAGCTTCTTTCAATCATGTAGCTCACGCCTTCAGTTGATCCATACAATTGTCAAGTATATTTTCGTAATAAACATGAAGCTATTATTATAATTACAAATTTCATCGCATCCCAGAGAAATGTGCGAGCCGTTTCCATTGAAACTCATTAAGGATGAGTCGCATGTGAATGGTGGAGCGCATCTGTAGTAGCTCGAGATCCCGCACTCTGTGCCGCTCGGCCCGCTATGTGCGGGCGTTGTACGGTTGACCTCCTGGGCTGACCCCAAGCTTCCTGTCCTGAGTGTGCGGCTCGTGACGTTGCGACGTCATCTTGCTGCACATTGCATTTATATTTATCATTCTCATTCTCATTATAATTTCTAACCTTTGACTGAGAACGGCCGGGGCACGCTTGTGCCATGTGTTTGCTTGTGTGTTTGTGTTTGTGTGTGGGCGGCATATGCTCAATAGCGCTGAACGACCTAGGCACAGACACAGACATATACATATGTGTATATACATATATGCACATCAACTGGACCATCAACGACAGCATCGAATTCAATTAAATTTAATTTAAGATTACAATACTTATACAATCTATGGCACGACGCGTGATATGTGGCGGCTTGCAGCGCTATATGAGCTTCTTATTCTACGAAGACGAATAGGAATACGAATACGAATACGAATAAAACTATTACAGAGCTCTGAACGTGAATGAGCGAGTGACCTTAATGGAGCCTATGGAAACGCGCATACACATGCACAATTACTTAAAGATCTGTGCGAGATGCATTAGAGATCCATCCAACTGACGACCGATGCAGTCCCCGAAACGGAGCCACCCTCCCCCACCACTGACATCTCTCTCACTCTGGCCGCTGTTTCAACACCAATTAAGACATAACTCGAGGGGATTGAAACAATTATATACCAAAAACTTTAACATGCGCTCATGTATGTGCATACATACGCATACATATGTATATGTATGCATAATTTGTACCAATTAAATTTGAGTACAGAAACACCCGCTATGCAACGGCTGCAGTTGATGGATGATGATGATCATCGGCTGCTCAGGAAGCTGGCCAGGCGACACGCACAAAAGGAGACATCTGCGACCCCCAATAAAATAATTACAAATTGTCCAAATTGGTATCAACTTGATATGACGGCCAGCCAATCAATATGTACATTAGAATAAATATGTAAATACCATATGTATACAAAATTAGTACCCATATGTTTGGCTATCGTAATATATATAGAAAGAATCGAGTTACCAACCTGAGTGCGTCAGTTATAGTCCATACAACATCGGGCTGCGATGAGGTGTGGGGAGTTGAGCTCGATAACTGTTCAAACCGGCTTTTGTTTTGTCCCGTTTCGTATGTAGCAATGACTTCCTTAGCTGACGTGCCACGCCCCTATTTAAAATTTGCCAACACACACATACATAAATATGCAGACTCAAAACACACACACACGTACAGACACATGGCTCCGTATTCGTAGATAATTTGATTCCCTGTCTAGGACCATTTTCATAAATTTGGCTAAAAACACACACACACAGACAAAAACTATGCGAGTTGCGAAACAAAATTTGAACTGCAAGCGGTTCTCTCTTTCTTTCTTCTTTCTCTTTCTCTATCTCTTTCAGAGCACTGCCAAAAGCTTCAAGCGCCTTATGCCAGTTAGGGTAAGCTGCAACAACAACAACAACAACAACCACAACAACACTTACTACAACAACTGTTATCTTTAGAAATGTAAAATAGAGAAAAAGCCGTTACATGTTTTTGCCTTAATTTCGTTAATAAACTTGAAACAAGGGTTGTCCCTGCCTCTGAGTGGGCGTCACCGTCGCCCACCCCTTGGCCATTGCCAGGGGTTGCCAATGGCCAGCACTCTGGCTGCATTAGCCGAATTTGTTTGCACCGCCGTCTGGCTCTCTGACTCACGATGCCCTTGACTTCAGCCGGAGTGGGCAGGGCAGACAGAGGGTGCTATGCTGTGCTGTGCCAGCTACAATTTCCACTCTCTCTCTCTCTCTCTCTGTAGTCTCCTCGCTCTTTGGCACGCAGAGTTCATTGGCACTGGGAGCTGCGCATGAAAATCAAATGCATTTTTTGTAACAGTCAAGCTCTGCCCGAAGGGTGTCTCCCCTCATCTACATAAATATGAGAACTAGCTTCATTTAAGAAAAGTTGGCATTATGTGTGCAGCAGTGTGTGTGTGTGTGTGTGCCACGCTCTTGAAACTGTTTTGGCAATGGGAGTTGATAATGAATTACAGTTGACAGTACACCCAGGGGAGCAATGACTGAACGCTGACAGCCCAGTTGACAGGATTATATCTCTGAAAGCCATACAGATTGATCTGGCTAGCATTTGATTATGTTTCCCATTCATGCAAATAAGTAATTGCAACTGGATTGCCCTATTGGACATACGAGCAACCCCAATCAGGGATTCCATTCAAGTTTCATTAGCAGCCTTTAAAGTACTTTTCGGTATTTCAATGTTATTAATGATTTATTCATAAAATTAAGTCAGTTGTATGTCTCATCAGAGATAATATCTCTTAGTAAAGTTGTGTATATACAATGTATGTGCTATCACATGTTAAAGTAGATTGTTAATATTTTTTGATAATTGTTTCTTTAATAAATGTTTCTTAAGCATAGAATCATGTATTTTGAAATAAATGTATATATGAGTTCTATAATATATAATTTAGTAAATATTAAGAAGAGTCAAGAGCAGCACAAGTAGAGCACAAATCAACTCATTTCATATGCAGTTTAAGCCAAAGTTTACTTGATGCCATCAGTCCTTACACTCGATTGGCTTTAAGCTGTAAAGGGAACATTTAAGCGCATTTGGCCAGGAATCAGATTGACCCCAGGGCGGCATCCCGTCCCGGCTAGCCACAGTTCACTTAACCAATAAGCGCATTCTCTGGCAGCCAACCAAACCGGTGAGCAAGCAGAGATAGGGGAAAGCATTTAGAAAGCGAAATGGAAACCAAACAACTAAATTGCGGCGATAACATTGCAGGACGATAGCGACAGCGACAACTGGCATCTCCAATTACTAAAAAGTCCTTTGATGGCGCAGCCAAAACCAAGATACGAGCTGCGAGCAGCGAATCGAGGGTCGTCGAGCGCTGTCGAGCAGCCTTTCAAATAGAATCGACGTGACTCACCGGCTACGAAAGGACGAACAACACCAAAACAAAGCATAATGTGTGAGACGAAAAAAGGTGCAGGACAGGCACACGCACACACATGTACATGTACACACACACACACACACACGCGCACCTAAAGAGAGACGGTCAATTTGAAAAAAAGTGAGCTACATATCGCACATGCTCATAAAGCTGGCTGAGAATGTGCACCGAGGCGTGTCGATGCAAAGCGGAGCTGCTGCTAATGGCGGCGGTGGTGGGTGCTGGCGGTGCCACATTGGGAAGCCGCAAAGTGTGCGGTCGCATGTGTCGCCAGGCAGGTGGTAGCTGGCCCAAAAGGGTCAGCGTCTGTTATGTAGGGTAGCTGCGCCTGGAAAATGCATTTCCACCATGTGACACTGCCACTGCCACTGCCAGCGTGTCCCGATCGACATCACGCGCTCGATAATGACACATGACAATTTGGGATACATGTAGTCTATTATTGAAATGGGCGCAGGTCGCAGGGCCCAGCTGAACGAGCTGCGCCTGCTTACGTAATTGGTTCAATAAACCTTTTGCTGGGCGACCAGGCTCTGCATAGTTTCACCAGTTGTTTGACGTTGCCATGGAATTGCAAATAAAATGGCACACAGGTCGTTAGTTCGCCAACGTTTCCCCCTTCCTCTCCTTCTCTCTCTCTCTCTCTCTCTCTCTCTCTCTCTCTCTCTCTCTCTCGCTCTTAGCCTCTGCCCCAATGCATGGTTGCGTTTGGTTCGATATTTTCAAAGCATGCTGACAACACTGTCCTACAAAACTTAATATGCACACTAACACATGTCCAATTATTTATGCTTGCAGTTCTACAGTCTGCTGGAGCAGAATCCTGTTGCCAATGCGACGCTCTCGCTGCGCTCCTGCACCATCTTTGTGCCCACTAACGAAGCCTTCCAGCGCCACAAGGGTCCCACCCATGTCCTCTATCACATCAGTGAGTATTTGCGTCGCATGTCGATTGTGATTCATGTGAATTATTTAATTGAAATGCCCTTTTTCCCACGTTTAGCCACGGCGGCGTTCAGTAAAGATCAACTGGAAAAGACCGTGTCATCGGACATGGCAGGGAATCCGCCGCTCTACATAACAAAGAGCCGCAATGGTGACATCTATGTGAACAATGCCCGCATCATACCCTCGCTCAGCGTCGAGCTGACAAACCGCGAGGGCAACCGTCAGGTCAGTGACCAGGCTTTCGATTGAATATTAATGCAATGACAACAACACATACATATATACTAAATACTCACAAATATGACTAATATATTGCGCAGGTCATGCACATTATTGACGAGGTCCTGGAACCACTCACTGCGCTGCCAACTGCCAAGACAGAAATCAATAATCTCGATGCCCTGCAATTTATACAAAAGGCCGATCAGCTGAGCGTCGGCGACAACAAGCTGCGCACCTATCGCTCTCAGCTGGCGCTGATGAAGAAGGAGTCGCTGTATAATGCGCCGGGAGCGCACACCTTCCTGCTGCCCGTGGACGAGGGCTTCAAGGTGAGTGCAGACATCCGAGAATATATAGTTAGTTGCCTGCTCAATTATTCAGTTCATCGTTTGTATTATTATATTTCATGTAGATAACGACCCGCAGCAGTTTGGTGGATGGCAAGGTCATCGACGGTCATGTTATACCGAACACTGTCATTTTCACTGCCGCCTCGCAACACGACGAGCCCAAGACTTCCGCTGCCTTTGAGGATCAACTGAAGGTCACCGTGAGCTTCTTCAAGCAAAAGGACGGCAAAAGTGAGATAGATAATTGCCGGAGATGTTCTTATCCCTCATTCATGTCATTCTCTGTGTTTAGTGTATGTCAAGTCCAATACAATTGTCGGCGATGCCAAGCATCCGGAGGGCGTGGTCCTGTCTGAGATTGTCAAGGCCAATATACCCGTGAAAAACGGTGTCATCCATTTGATTCGTCGCCCGCTCATGATCATCGATACGACCGTCACACAATTTCTACAGGTAGGTGGGCGTAGCACCCAGTCGTAAATGCCAAACAGAGATACGTACACCCACACAGATAGTAATAATAAATAGACAGTGGCCATGACTGGCGATAAGGCTTGGCATTTTGATTGGCTCATCACTCAGCTCTGGGTGGCTGCATGTGCCAGCTGCCTCAGCAAACGCTTAAGCGCACAAACACATGAATACAATGCAAACACATATACACACACGCATACATACATATATACATATATTTATATACGCTATAATACTTTGCATTTAGCTGAGCTGCGCTCCTCAGGAATAAGTGGCGTGCGTCTGCTTGAGAGCCTCACATTTCTAGCGTTCTTCTATATGCAAAGTCCAAACAAAAGTATCAAATAGCGACATAAACTTGACATTAACAATAGACACGCATACACATATACATACACACACACACACACACTCACACACATACAGAGACGTATGTATATAAATTACAAGGCAACGCTTGATCCCACAAACTCAATAGCTACACTTGCCAAATTGAAAGCCCAAAGTCTGATTTCACATAAAACTGAATTGCTAAGACAATTTCTGAGCTCTAGAGATTAGTGTAAAGTTTTGTTCTCGACATGAATGTCGGAACAGATTTTGCACGTAAACTGAATTGGTTCGGTTTCATGTAGAATCATAGCAAAATTTTATTTTAAAATAATTTTTAAAATACAAATTTTATTTTAAAAAAATTTTGGGTGTAATGTAAGTATTGCCAACAATCAATCAACCGAAAAAATGAAAAGCAATGTATTTAATGTAATTAACCAAATGTTTATCTTCTATATTATAAAATCATGAAATCAGAATCAACCAGAGCTGCAATTTCCAAGGCGTTAATTGGCTTTGCTATCAAAATTCATTTCATTTCAAATGCTTTGTCATCAAACTGCAGCTCCAAACTTCCCAAAATTCTATTCAGCGACAATTGCAAGCAAATCACTGATATTTGATAATCGAAATTGCAAAATAATTAATTGGCACACTGCAAATTCTTAAAGCTTTGCTTGTACTTACGCAAGTCAGCAATAAAATGAAACAAAGTTGTTTTTCTCATAAAAAACTTCATTCACAGCTCCTGCATATTTCTTGATCCAGTGCATTGGTGAACCACGCTCTGTCCTTCTAAAATGTGTCCACAATTGGCTTAAGCATTCCCCCATTCATAGCATATCATACTATAAATACTCTCAGCTCGCCCGATCTATCGCTCAGTCGGCATGCTTTGAACGTAATATTATGTTGAGTTCCTCTAGCCGTAGACGCATCTCGTTCATGTGAGATCGCCGTCATAATCCGATATGCATAATACATTACATACATTGTTCTGCATTCGAAATCAAATCAATGTCGGCTCATCTTACTGTTTATTATTTAATACATTTCTAACTGTTTGTTTTGCGTTCTGTTTTAACACGCACTCCTCATGCCTCATATTCGCTTTACTGACCGACTGATCTATATTCTGTTTCTCATACATGCAAATCCCATATCGCTCGCTAATTGAAATCTGAACATTTCGCAGTCGTTCAAGGTAAACAACTCTTATGGCAGTCAGCTATACAGATACATATATATTTATGTACCGTTACTTGTACTATACAGTTTGAGTTCGTAATTCAATATTCATTTGTTTATAATTTTTGCATAATTGATTATATAGGAGCACGTTATCTCAGCATGTTTTCAAATGCAAGAAACAAATGAACAGTAAAAACAGACTTAGTTCAATATTACAATCAATTTTAATTATGCATGTGTTTTGCTGTTTGTTTCGATTACAACTCTCTGTTTAGTTAAGGAAAAGTATGTTTGACAAGACGGGGATTAAATACTTGTTGCTAGCATATGGTTTAGGAATATTATAAGTAAATAAATTCAGTTTGTAGTCTCTTTGGTTTTTCAGAGTGTAAAATGGAATAACTTCTTAAGGCGAATATACAGATCTCGAATAAAAAATGCAGACCTCAGCTAGTTTTCGCTTTTGGTTCTTCACAGACAAATAAGATAAACAGTTAATGCTGATCGCGAGTAAAAATACTTGATGGGCTCGAGAACAGATCTTGAAATCTTAATCTGCATACAAAATTTCGTGACAATCGCAACTGACTCCAAGGAATGACTGCATGCTAACCCTAAATTACTATGCAAATTAGAAGTACGATTTTAGTTGTTGCCTCTTTATTTTTATTTGAGAAACGTTTACTATGCTTGTAAAATCGAAATTTCAATCTACCTATTAACTCAACTCCGCAAAAGTAAACAAAGTAAATAAAAATTCTATTTCCCTAATACTTTATTTCAAACAATTTTCCAACTCGGTGGCGGAACTTCCACACTGCGCGGAACCTGAAAAATACTCGTTAACGTGTACCTAACGACACACACCCACACAATATTAATGACATTTGTTCAATTTTTAACATTGAATATGAATTTATAACGCTCTTTCTACTACTACTACTACTACTACTTCCAACCGTTGTACAATGATTGTACCGATTTAGTTCGTGAACGTAAGTAATTGTATAACACAATCAATTGAACCACAACACTCATCAGCTTGCCCATGGACCTCACCCAGTAGCCAGTAGCCACACACCACCAATCGCCGCCTGGTCACAAATTTCAATTGAAACGTTTTATTTCTCATGCCTCTCATGCCCGGCGAATGTGTAGTATCAAATCAAGAGCTGATCTTTAGTCCTCTTGATTCGAGTCAAACACACCAAGAATTTCATCAGTTACAATTGCTTAGATTATCACAGGCTCTGAATGGAACTAATAGGGATCATCATTAATCTCTTTCTTATTTTATGTAAAGCTTATTGTATTAAAATTATAAATGTGATCATATCAGAGAAATATAGATGTTTGATGTTTTGTAAAATCCATTCTAAATGTACACGCATTGCTAAAGCCCCCTAACCCCACTTCTGAGATAATTGTATATATTCATATAATATATATTTAATCACATTAAGTCCTGACCAATACGTTTCTATTTTAAAGGACAACGGTGAGAATGGAGCATTGCGCAAGTTCCTGGAGGTCATCATGGACTCTGGCGGCGCAGTGCTGGATGGCATTAACAATCTGTCTGAGGTAACAATTTTGGCGCCCAGCAACGAAGCTTGGAACACTTCCTCCATTGACAATATTGTTAGGTGAGTTCATTGATTCTTCAGATGAGCTCAAATATAAACGGCAATTGTTATTCACAGGGATCGCAAGAGGATGACAGACATTCTCAACATGCACATCATCAAGGAGCGCTTGAACGTCGAGAAGATCAGGCAAAAGAATGCAAATATGGTAAAAGTCTATGCGAAATCATTTTGAAGCTCACACGTTAAGCTCATATTCTTGCTTCCAGATCGCTCAGGTGCCCACCGTGAATAATAGAACGTTCCTGTACTTTAACATCATTGGCGAAGGCGCTGATGCCAAGATCACCGTTGAAGGCGGCGGCGTTAATGCCACCATCCTGCAAGCAGATGTTGCTCAAACGAACGGTTATGTGCACATCATTGATCACGTGTTGGGCGTGCCCCACACCACAGTGCTGGGCAAGCTGGAAACCGACCCCATGATGAGGTAATACCCGGTGATAGCTGCCCACTGTTTGCTTCTGTAACTAATTCTGTTGTCGCCACAGTGATACTTACCGAATGGGCCAATTCTCGAACTTTAACGATCAGCTGAATAATACCCAGCGCCGGTACACGTTCTTTGTGCCCCGCGATAAGGGCTGGCAGAAGACTGAACTGGACTATCCCTCGGCTCACAAGAAGCTCTTCATGCGCGACTTTGCCTATCATGTGAGTATTCATATTTAATATGTCATTTGCACAGCTTACAATTTTTATTCTCTTCACAGTCGAAATACATCTTGGAGCGCCATCTGGTCATTGCGGATCATGTGTTTACCATGAAGGACCTGGCTCAGATGTCCCTGACTACCGACAATGTGGTGCTGCCCACATTCCGCGATTCACTCAAAATGAAGGTCACTGAGGAGGCTGGACGTAAGTGTTATTTAATTGTAACCAACTAGGGCACCCATTTCGATTCGATGCTATTGGTACCATAATCTGTACTAACTTATGTTGTTTCTCTTCGACTTTACCAAAATCTCATGCTTTGTATTTAACCAACTCCAAATCAATATATGTAAAAGATCTACATGATGAGTATGCTAGTCACGAATGGACTGGTGAGTGTTGCAGTTAGTCAACCAATCGCACTAGCCACCCACCACAGCCACATCAAAAGTGGCTCCATTCCAAGCATAACATAGCTCTCACCGTATGCTCCAGGGCATATCCCTTAGACTTTTAATCCGAACATGAATCAAATATTCCTAACACTCTTCATAATCTAATTGCAGGGTATGTGATCACGTGGAATTACAAGAAGATAAATGTGTATCGGCCGGACGTTGAGTGCACCAATGGCATCATACATGTCATCGACTACCCGTTGCTGGAGGAGAAAGACATTGTTGTTAGCGGAGGTAGCTATATGCCAGAATCAAGCATTTGCATCATGTTGGCCAACCTCATAATGATAACAGTAGCAAAGTTCTTGAACTAAACAAAAACGCATTATTCATAATGTATAAAAATTGAACAATTTCGAAATATGCAAAAAACAAAAACAATACAGTCGTAAACCAAAACAATTCAACAACAAACAAACAGCAACAACAACAACAACAACAACAGCAACAAGACAATTCGAAAACTAAAACGATACCAAACTAATATAAAAATATTGCATATGTTTAGCACATGTTGTTATACTTGCGTGCATATATAAATATATATTTCTATAAATATATACCTACACACATACATACACACAAGCATACATTCATATATGATGAACTGTATTATATGTGTCACAAGGAACACGCCTCACAGCATATAAAAAAAAAAAGGCACGCTCACTAGCCACATCCTCCACCTCCATATGAATCTTCACCGGATTGGCTTTCAAGTTTGGCAGAGCGTTATATGAAAACAATTTGATGTACATTTTAAGAATTGAATTCGATAACATCCCTACTAAGGCCTTATGTATCATATGAAATATACAACTATTATTAATTACATTTTATGCCTATGTTCGACATACACACATACACATACATATATCTGATTATGGTTTAAGTTCAGTTTAAAATATCTCCTTGCTCGCTAAGTTATAAGTTTAAATTCGTTTATGTTTGATTTTAAGTGTACATTTTATTGTCAGTTTATGTTTAGTTAATGTATAATTTATGATTTGTTCTATGAGTTAACCTTATGTAAGTTAAATGCGAATCTCATTGTACATGTCAAAGCGAAAGCAATAAGCGCATAACGCATTCTCACAACAAGCATACACAACATAAACAATACATTTATAACATGTAACAGAATGAAAGATCATGACAACCTTTTTAAACAATGTGAAATTTTATAATAAACCTGAAAGAAACTTTTCATTTAATTGAATTATGATAAAACAAACGAGATTTTAAATTTTAAGCAAGCATCCATGTCTATCTAGGTTAAATTGTATGCCTAAATATAGTGTATATTAGAAGCTAAAGTTGAGTAGTAGCCATCCTGCACTTATGTATCTAGTTGTTAGTCCTGCTATGCATGTGCTCCCAGACACACCCATCATACACACACACACACACGATTATATATACAATGCCGATTGCAATCGAAGTTAGCTGTGGACTATAAACTCATGCATACCCTTTACGTATGCATGTAGCTGAGAGTAGCTTATAATGCATTGCGCATAACACAAACACACACACAGACAAACACATACATACACATTGACATTGAACACAAATAACATGCACATGACATTCTAAAAGAGGATTTGGACTAGCTCATAGCAATATGGCCAGCCTCTGCAGTTGCATTTCCCCCCAATTTGTATGTAACTGATATGTTAAAATTAAACCTAGCTGTAGTCTGTCATGGGGCAGTAATCAAAAGAAACTAAAAAATCAATTGTACTAAGAAAGTTCGAGCGCTAACTATAAAAACTCTCTTTCCTCTTTTTCTCTATCTCTCCCCCAATGATGCTACATTTAACAATATAGGTTAGATATTGTATAACTAGCCTCTCTCTCACTCTCAGTCTGTGCGAAGAGTGCGCAACAAGTGAATTATAATAATGATATTGATAATGATAATAATAACCACGTCGACAAATACAGTAAACTATCAGCCTCAGCCTCAACGTACACACAAAACCGCCAACCTACCAACAAGACAAGCCCCAATGCATCCATATTATATCAAATATAAATAATTAACTGTAGTCAAATAGTGACTAATCCCTCCATATCGAGATTGATCCTCCAGACCCTCCTCCATAATATCTTTAGTAGGCATCGTTGCTTGTTTTGCAAAACAGTTTAGTTCGTCAGTGTAGCTAAAGAAATTGAAGAAACGAAACTACAAGTAAAGAGTAAAAACTAAATGTAAAGAATACGCTAAATCTAATTGTACACGTAAAAGCTTTAAACTTTGGTCGGAATATGGAAGAGGGATTTGTATGCCGTAGTCAGTAGTTGCACGTTAGGCAGCGGGCCCAGACTCTAATCGATGATGATTCAACGCGAGAGAGTTGGCTGCCTAGCGTGTGACTAGTGCCTTACTAAAGATAAACGCATTACCTTAACCTTTATACAAATTTACTCATCAAAAAAATAAAATAATAATAATAATTAAAAAGAAAAAAACAGCAGTTAATGGAAATTGCTAAAGGCAAACGTTTATCGGTAGCGAATCAAGTCAACTCAAGTTCTTCTGTCGCGCGTATATTGCGTCTAAAATTTAATTACAATGCAAATAATGTATTTCAATAAAGATGTAACAGATTATATATTTACATACATACATAAATGCATTCATAAATATGTAGCATTTCTGCTTATAAATGTACACAATTCAATGATATAATATTAATGAAACCACACGCTATTTACACCAAATACCAAATACCAAATGCATATATTTTCAAAAATTCAATTAAACAACACGAAACCCTAAAAGAGTAATAATAAAGTATATGTAGATGCAAAAGTCGAGTAAATAAATCAAATCTAATTATCTCTCCAAGTATATATGTATACAAATAATTGAGTTTTCGAAACAATAACAATATATTTATGCCTATACATATACATACATACATAACAAGCTTCAACTACGGTAAACTGCAGTGCAAACAAATATTTAGCCACTTTATTTTATGACAAACGCTTTTTAGAAAAAATAAGATGAAAATAGAGAAAGAAACAAAACCAAAATTATGCATTCGTGAATAATAACAAACACTAACTTTGTCTAGCATTAGTAAATGAATAATAAATAAAATGTATTACAATACATATTGTCAACAAAAAAAGCTTGAGCGAATAAATCTTCTAAAATATACATACATAGATATGGAAAAGTATATGATTCGGATTGGGCGGGAAATATTTTGAAAAATTCAGAACAGCACTACAGCACTTAAGTGCGCGCGCAGTCCAGAGTTGCTGGGGGTTGCATTTATCGATAGGTTTTGTCGTGCTATAAATTTTTCCAGCGTGAGCGCAGCATGTTGCGAGGGTATCAGTGTTGGCTAACATCGGAACCAATCGGGCGAGAACAGAATGAAATTCTCTCTTTCAATATAGCGAGAACAAAAATAAGCAAAAACTGCAATAGTAAGGAAATGTGCAATATGCAGGTTTGAAGTGGGATATAAAATCCGATTACCATTAATAAAAATAAAATATTAGCATGTGCAATCTGCACATGAGTGCGTACAAGTGCAAATAAGTTGAAAACTAACAGATTTAGTGGGTTTTCCCAAGCGGAAACCATAAACTGACCGCAACCATGAAGAAGCGTAACTCGCGCTGCAATTCGGATACACAGAAGATGGAGAACGATGGCAACGACTTAAGCCTGTTGCAGCGACCGCTCCAAACGGCCCACACGGGATTCGAGGAGGCTCGCCGCGCCTATGAGAATGGTACCAGAGAGGTAAGCGGAAGCTCCAACAGGCGTAAGCGTGTAGGCGAGCTGCGTACGTGACCCAACTAGGTCCATAAATGGCGTAATATAAACAAACTCTATGTGCATGAGACCAAGGCTCAATAGCTGACAGGTCCTTTGCGCCTTTAGCTCCCATCCAAATCCAACTTTCTGACTCATAATTAAATGTTTTACTCACTTGGAAAAAATGCTCTTTTTGTATTGACATATTGGGCGTTTCATTTTTTTTATGACTCCCTTATTCAAGAAGCAATATGGGAAACATGAAAAATAATGATAGTAATTATATTTTTCTTATTATTGTAAACCAGCTCTTTAAGCTCACAACACAATTGAAATAATTCGAACGCTAGCTGCTTTCATTGTACTAATATTACCATGATGTATATGTACGCGTGTGTGTGTATGTGAGTGAGCAGGGTTCGGTGTGGCTGTGCCTGTTACCTAATCCAATCATTACATCGTGTCCCATTGCCTTATACAGGTGCGACGTCTGCTCAGCGAGGAGTGCAGCCTAATCTATGAGTGCAACGTGTGCCGCAATATGTTTCGCAGCTTGGCCAACTTCATTAGCCATAAACGCGTCTTCTGCTGCATCAGTGCTCGTTTAACGAGCCACAATACCGGACACACAGTGAGTTAGCCGTAAAGCCAGTGTCCAATTCAGAACTCCAAATGGATCGCTTTCATATAGTACTAAATGACTTTGCTTGCAGGACCAAAACTCGACCATGATTATCCAGGCTTCCGCCTCTCAGGATATTGACAATATGCTTCGCAGCCGCAGCACAGGCTGTTCGCCAGTGCCGCGTGAGGTTCGCCCCATACGCGGTAGCATGCGCGACCTAAGCGGCGTCATTGAACGCCTGCGACGCGAGAAAGCGCCATCAGCTGCTGTGAAGCAGCTGTTGCCAGTGCTGCAGCTGGAGTCGGTGCCCACATCCAGTCAGGCGGTCTACCAGACGATTAAGGTCGAGCAGGACGACAGCATTAAAACAGAGCTGAACGAGGTCCATCATATGCTCAATCCTAAGCAAACCATTGTGGGACCCGATGGCAAAGCCTTGAACACGAACCACTACGAGCGTCCCAATGGCAGCGATTCGGCAGAAACTCCAGAGCAATCGGTCAGCGACGAAGCAGAAACAAACATCTTTTGTGAAATATGTAATATATTGAATGATACGCTTATTGAGCAGTAGGCTTTGCACTTATTCCCTTCTCTTTTTGTTCTGCTCTTTCTTCTTTCACGTCGCAGGCAATTTGACATTTCAAACGCAAAAGACACTCGAGCTGCACATACAGAAGCATCATTCCTCATCTGCGTTCGTGTTTCAGTGCCCGGCTTGCTCGCTCACCTTTCTGCAGGCCGCAGCTGTCATCCGTCACCTTTCCAAGGATCACAAGTGTGTATGATGGATGCACATTCCGAATCGTAGCTAAAATATCGTTTCGCATTCACAGAAAACCAACGCGACGCATACGCATGATGCGCAACACAATCCTGAAGCGCCGTAAGCAGCAGGGTGATATTCAGCCGAAAGGACCAAGCCGTGAGCTGAAGCGTTTGCAACTGTCCGACGATGTGGTCGGCCACGCTACTGAGCATACAAGTGCAAACGGGGAACAGCGCAAGATAATGTCCTTATGCATTTACTGCGAAAAGTCATTCGAGCGCCGTGCTGCACTCTCCACGCATCTGCTCAACTGTCGCGCCAAGCAAGAAGCGCTGGCCAAGCCAGCACCAGCCGTAAAGAAGCTCAAATCAAACTCAAATGGAGACAACGTATCCAATCTGGAGATGCTCGACGAGAGTCCCAATTCTGTTTCTATGGATGTGCAGAACATAGACCCCGCTACGCTGAATGAAATGTTTGCCGGCCTAGCCGAGCAGAATGAGAAATATGTGCCGGAGCTGCAGACCGTGTCCTTGGACAAGCTGCAGCTGCAGCAGGAGAGCGATTTATCCAGCGACGAGGCATCCAACAGCGAGGACGAGCACGGCGACCACGAGGATCGGGAACTGGACGAGCAGACCACCCTCGATGAAACAAAGCCGAAAATAAAGAAGAAGCGCAATGTGCCAGTCGAGAAGCAGCTGCGCTGCCGCTGCAAGATCTGCAATAAGGCATTCAATGCAATCGGCAACTTGCGGCGTCACATATCCATGTTCCACTATCGGGCACGCCGGTTCGGCTGCACCATATGCGACTATCGCGCCTTTCGCCGCTACGACATAGTCAACCACTTGGGATTCACACACAAAATAGAGGGGGATCGCGAGAAGCTGACCGAGCAGTATGTGTCCACGCATGAGTGCGAGTATTCGCGCGACGATGTCGATGGAGACATTGTGCTGTTGGATAAGGAAGAGTCAGTGGAGCCGGAGCTAGCAGCTGAACCAAAGCCCGCGCCAAAGACCTATGAGAAGCGGTTGAAGCGTGTCAAAACTGTTACCGATCCACCGCCGGAGATGCCTCCCAGTTCGCCGCTTGCCGCAACCATTTTGCCCGGCGTGGTCATCAAGGAGGAGCCCGAAGATGAGCAATTACAGCAGCCCGTGGTCAGCAAAAAACGCCGCAAGTCGCGCACCCAAAATTCACCAGAGCGCGGGGAGCGCGGTAGCGAGAAACGGCCCATACGCAAGCGCGTCAAGGCCGTCAACAAAGATTTTGTCTATGATCTTGTTAGCTTTAAGCCAGACCCATCTGGTGCGCTGACTCCCGTTGAGTCCATGCGAGCCAAACTGCGTCGCCAGCCTGGCCAGACTGTGGCATCTGAGGAGTCGAAACCTAAGCAATGGGAGCCTTACATAACCGAGGACAAGAAGGCCCTGGTGCATGGCATTACGCGCCGCATTATGCTGAAGCTCGTTAGCGAAGGACGTGCCGTCTCTGCAACACTTCCGGAGCTGCCCGCCGAGCGGCCGCAAATCCGCCCGCGTCTCATTTCCTATACGCGTAGCGATTGCAGCCAGCAGAATGTGGTGGACACCACGCCAGTCAGCAGCGTGGGCGAGAGCTTTATTGAGAAGATTGCCAAACGCACGGCTGCTGCTGGCAAGGATGCGACCATCAGCAATTTATGGAACAAAGTAAATAATGCCATTGCTCAGCAACAGAATGCGGAAACGGCGGAAGTGCCTCCTGCACATCAGGAAGTCGATGCATTCGCCACTGCTGCAGTTGCTTCGGTGCCAGGGGCCGACTCTCAAGTGGCATTGGATGCGTTGCAGAAGACGCCCAATGGCAAGCACGGCATTGGCACGGCGCTTCACCTGACGCCCCCTTCGCCGCCGCGCAAAGGCAACGGCATGAACAAGGACCTAAACACATCCGCCAACTCAGATGCTGGATTGCCAGCTTCACCCTTGCCAGCCACCGTTGTGGAGTGCCTCAGCACAATGGAGCCCCCAATGACGGCGGGTACGTCCGCAAAGTTTCCGGCGTTACCGAAACCCCCATCCGTGCTGCAGGCGTCTGCCAACGGAACAATCCAATTCACATTGGACAGCCTGCTGCGTGCTGCGCTGCAGAACTAAGCCAAATAGATTGAATTGTATTGGATCGGATTGGATTGTATTGGTCAAGCATTCTGCGTCATAGTTTGTTATTAGCTTTAAATGCTAACTGTTAACTTGGCTTCTCATTTAATGTTTAATGTAGT